GTTAAGACGGCTTATCGACTTCTTGAGAAGAATTCTAAGTAGAAAGTAAACCTACAGACATCGGTCTTGTTTAACAAAATCTGCCTACAAGAAAATCTGTCACTAAAGTATACCTTAATATATTTAAAGTAATACTTACTGTTAATTTTTACATTTTCAGACAACCTTTTTCCATACATCCTTTTCGATGTCCTAATTTACTGTTTGACCAACTTTCTTGATTTTCTATAATCTTCTAAATCTCCTGTCATTCCAGTCAATTTAAATTTCTTAAACTTGTTATACTTTTCTTTAATTTTCTCTCTTATACCCTTTGTGAGCCAAGGTGGTATTTTACTTGCAGTCACACTTCTCTTTCTATAAAGAATATGTTTATCTTGAATATTTAAAAATTTATCTTTAAAAGTTGTCCACATCTGATCAGTGTCTCCAAATAACTCAGCTGCCCAATTTACAACAGATAATTCTTGTTGCATCCCTTCAAAATTTGATTGTTTGAAATATCATTATTTCTTATCTCCATATGCAGCAAAACACTGAGCCTAATAGAGCAATTACCACTTGCACCCAGATGTTCCCCAATTTCCACTCTCTCAACAATTTCTATATTAGAAGTTAACAATAAATCTAAAATAGCATTGTTTCTAGTAGGCTCTTTGACCCATTGGTGAAGAAAACCATCTTGGACAGTTTCCAAAAACCTTTCTCTCTCATGGTTTGACTCTAGCATTTCCCAATCTATATGCCTGAAATTAAAATCACCCATAATTATGACCTCATTAACAGCTGAAATCTTAATCTCAATGTAAATTTTCTCACTAATTTCAGTAATATCATATAGTGGTCTGTAACAAAAACCCACTAAAAGCTTTTACCCTTTATATCCACTAATAGAAACCCAAACAGATTCAATATCCTTGCTATTATCTTTGATATCCTCAACTTCAACAGGATGTCACTCACATTTTACATATAAAGCCACCCTCCCTTCTCTTTAGAACTTTATTTTTATTAAATAACATTTAACTCTGTACATTAAAGAAATTTCTGTCATCAAAATCATCTACATTTAACCATGTTTCAGTTATTCCCATTATATATCAGTCCTCCATTCCTACCATTGCCCTAAACTAAAGTCATCTATTTTATATCTCATACTTCTAATATTACAATAGTAACAATTAAGCCTATTCTTAGAACTACTTTTCTACTCATTTCCTATGCTAAACTTCTCTAGATCTTTTTTTTCTTTTTGCATTTAGTTGATCTCGACTCTCATCACTGTTTAGCCCTAGTTGAAAACTTCCCTTACAGCTGAGTTAATAGCCCTTGCAAACAAGCCAGACCCTAATCTATTCAAATGTAAACCATCCATTCCAAAAAGTTCCCTTCTCCCATTGAACTGACCCCACAAGTCCAACTAGCCAATTTGTTCATCCTTACATAATAACCTAAGCCTAGCATTTAGCCTAGTGATCTATTCATAATTTAATCCCCACAATTAATTCTCAGCAATATCCAAGTTAAGTTATGGCCTCTTTTTTTAAATGCCTTTATCAACCCTTTGTACTTATTAACTAGCTCCTCTGACCTACCTTTCCCCACATCATTAGCCCCCTATGTGCACAACAAAAACTGCATCATTACTAGCTCCCTTTGTTATATCTCTTGCTCTGTCAGTTATATCGTCTATTTGTGCCCCTGGGTAGCATAATCTAATTCTTTTCTCCCTATTCACCCCACAGACTATCCTATCCATATCCACGTCTTGTCAAGGAATCACATATAACTATAACCTCCTTAAGTTTATCATTCACATCCTTCTCTGACCCTTTTGTTTTCCTTTCCTCCAATAGTTCTTCATCTGCACAAGGCAAGAGCTGAAATCTGTTGCTCTATAGAATAATTTCATTACAAATAAATCCATTATTTTTTAACCCTAATAGTACTATTTCTAAGTTTCTGAAACTCATTGTTAGTTTATGTATCCCTTGCATTTTAAAGCTTAAGCTCCTCTTGAAACTTGAAATCCTGCTGCCATTTCCAACACTTTACCTATCTCTTTATCTACTTTAACTGGGATAGCCTTCAGCTTCTCCTCCAACCTACAAACTACATACAAGTTGCACATCTTCATTACTAGCTTCCTTGAAAGTACATACCAGTCCAAAGTTCCCAAATAAAATCCAGGTGTTTATGTTCATTAGAAGCTTAAATAAACTACCTGAGGGAGATTTGTTAGAGTGGTAGAAGGATAATATTAGGGATGAAATAAGTATAGTTGTGATGATTTAGTGTTCTAACATGGCAACTGAATCATCTACAATAGGCTCAACTAACTCAATAAAGAGACATCAAGTAACTCCAGGAACTATTTATTAACATATAAAGAGAAGTTACACAAGACAATTCATAAACATAGGACAAGTGACATTCACACAAGTGGCAAACCCAATCAAGCACCAACAAGTTGCCACTTACATGGTATTGTCTGTATAAATAGTACAAATGGAACAAATACTAAACGAGAACCTACTAACCATAATCTCATTACCTATCTTGACAGTTAAGTATTTATATACCACAGCTCAGCATACATTGATGTCGCATGTTTAAAAAATTCTATGTCCCAAATCAATCAACAATAAACACCTTGTGCACCCAATATCATGCAACTATTGTTACATCATACACTGTAGTTTAAGTTTATACAAGATGACAACCCAAAATATACAATTATTATTAATAGAAGTTATGACTATATAATGATATGCTAACTCAATTCTTCACAACTGTAAGCTATGGAATCCCTGGTACAAATGGATTTGCAGAAGATGTGGTGTGTGTGCTTCTACCTTGAATTTCTTTTATTTATTTTATGTATATTGGGGGGGGGGGGATGGTACATTTAAATTATGTCTGTTTCTTCACTTGGTCACCTTAATGACCTTGTGTTACATATTCTTATATGTTATAAGTGCACTAGAGTTCCTGGATAATTTAAATCTGATATTTTCAACCTCAGCAACAACTGATGTACCACATGGTCTGAATGCAAGGTCAGAGACACAGTTTATGTACAGCTACCCCTACTTTAGAACTGTTAACCAGAGAAAGGGCAACCAATCAGAAGCAGGATTGACTATCACTGTTTTAACACCACAACTAATGAAAGTATGGAACACATTCATCAGCATATCACAGCTTAAACCTTGGACCTTTGTAGCCTAGCATAGTAGTTATTAAGCCACACCCTGCTTTTATAAAGAATTCCTCCATAACTGACAATTAACATTTTTGTGTTAAATATTTAACTGTGGCTTTTTTATGTCTTTTTATATCTGCTAAAAAAGACTTATGTACATAATACAAACAAGGCAATACTAGAATAATTTAACACCTGATACATAATTCCATCCTTTTCAAAATTAACTAATAAATAATTGAGTTTTATAGTATTAAACTGACATTGCTATTTAATTTATTAAATATTGGTTTAAGGATTCCACAGAATAAGAAATTACTAAAGTAATAACAGTGTAGTAAACAATTTTGCTCTCATTACTGACACACACATACACACACTTAATGAGTTGCTATACCTTGTCAACACTGTGCCACTACATGAAATTACACAAGATGCTTGGTTAGCTGCTACGATTGCAAATTAGACTATACTTAGAAAGAGGATTAAGAAAGCATTTTACAAGTAGTAAATGATTTACTTTAATAAAAATACATTTTACACAAGTATATGTGGAACTTATTAATGCCATTTCATTTGATACTGCAATAATTTTTATGCATAAAGAGTAAACTTTTAAATTTCTATCTAACTCGTATGACTTAATCACTGATCTGTGAAGATTTACGGATAATTTATTAATTTACTTGGAGATTTTTTTAGTCTATTTCTGTTTATTAATTTTATTATTATATTATTACCACTCACTAGATACTCTAGCTTATCAGGAGCATTATTTGCATAGAAAAACTCACTGGTCATAAGTAAGTTGTAAGCCCATTTAAATCCAGTTGCAATTAAATTTTATTATTTTTAACTTAAAAAGAAAACATTCCTAAAGACATTTAAAATATGGTTTCAATAATAATAAGGGAAAGCCTACAACGAAAAAGTTGTACAAGTTTTTGTAATGTTACACTAGAAAAAAAAATTGAAATAATTTAAAGTCTTAAGTTAAAGTTTAATTTTAAGAGTTTCAAAAAACAACAACAATTCAAGTCCCATACCTACTGCTTTTTAACATATAAACTGCATAACAGTTTGTTCTGCCATTTTCTCCTTCCGCAATGGATAACATGTTTTTATCACTAGTATGATTATCCTCAGTTGTTATTGTCATTACTTCTAACTAGAAATTGAAACAACAAAAGCCCAAATATTAAACTTTAAAGCAAATTTAGTTTTTACCAAGTTTTAAGACGAGCTTATTAAGTTTATTAAATCCAAAATAATCAATGTACGTTACCCTCTAACTGGCTAAAGCTTGTAAAATATAACTTAGAAGACAAAAATACGAAACTCTATAGCCCTAGCGCTTTCGAAAGGTCTACCATTCTTAGGGGAAAACTAGGATAATTATTTATAACTTATTTAATAATGACACTTGTCTTTGAAACAGTGGGCTATGACATACTTAAATTGTATTAGTACGGTGAATAGACTGAAGATATTTTATGTATTTTAAAACGAAATACTCAGCTGGTTAAAATATAAGTTTAGTTTGTTTGTTATTATGATTTATGAAATTAAAACTTAAGAAAATGTGATACAAGAGCTTATTAAACAATGTCAAACACTCGCAAAGAAATATTATAAAAGTAAGTTTATGTTAAAAACAAACAAACAAAAACATCATTACAAAAAATACAAGATATGCATCTCTTTCTTTCTTTCACTTAATGCACCAAGTGGCACCAGCGGTATGTTTGCGGATTTACAACGCTAGAAACCGGGTTTCGATACCCGTGGTGGGCAGAGCACACATAGCCCATTGTGTAGCTTTATGCTTAACTTCAAACAAACAAACCTTCATTTAATTAGTAATAAGTAGAATAATTTTTCTTGTTGTGGAACATAATTATAGCTATCTTATTTTTAGCATCGGTTATATATGACATATCAGTTATCTTGCTGTTAACTGTTGTTGTTTTTTTATTACGCAAAATGCACAAAAATGATTAGATAATCTACAATACAAATGTATGAGATATTTTCTTTAGTTGTGGGGTTTTCATGGCCTATTAGTCAGTATGCCGGAATGTTGTGGTATATTCGGTAAAACTGAGTTAACTTTAGAGCAATGGAATAAACCCATTTAATAATAGGATATTGTACAAGATTCTTGTTGTTGCGTCATCGAGGTCACATGACTAGTGTGACGCCACGTTTCTAGAACTATCCCGTACCTTGGCGAATGCTCTAGTATTTACTAGATATATAGGGTAGTCTGGTATATAAAAGAGGGTGACAAGGTGACGGGAGAGGAATGTAATGTGTGTGTGAAGATAGTGAGTAG